TTTCAAAATTCAAATCAGAGTTACAGTCATTTCGGCAAAATACAGTATTGCTTGGGCTCATAACATGGCATGCATTGACAATCCATGCGAGCATAACATGGTAAAACTGGTTACAGAAGGGTCACTTCGTCTTTCTAGCAAAAAGGTCAGCAAGAAGGCGCCAATTACAGTAAAACACTTAGAAGATATAATAGATAAATTTGCTGGAGAAAATGCAAGCGTTTTGGAGCTAAGAACGGCCACTTTTATGATATTGGCATTTGCAGGGTTTTTTAGGTTTGACGAAATGTCAAGATTGAAATTCACAGATGTCAGTTTCAAAGAGTATTACATAGATATCTTTGTAGAGAAATCAAAAACGGATTGTTATCGTAATGGTGCAAATGTTTTAATAGCCAAATCAAACAACAAGACATGTCCATTTTCATTGTTGCAAAGATACATGAGAGAACTAGGTGTTAATTCACAAACTGACAAATTCATTTTTGGAGCACTTTCATTTTTTAAAAGCAAAAGAAAACACCAGTTGAAAGAATGTAATAAACCAATCAGTTACACAACTTGTAGAGATATGGTCAAAGCTGCCTTGAACAAAATTGGGGTAGATAGTAAGGTTTACGGGTTGCATTCATTGCGTTCTGGGGGTGCCACTAAGGCTGCCAACGCAGGTGTTTCAGACAGGCTTTTTAAGGCGCATGGGAGATTACGGTTACGTTGAAAGTTACATCAGCCAAAGGCTTTCAGTTACGTTAAGTCTGGGACTTTAAGTGAAATCATACATTTAGCAATATGCAATTTCAAACATTTACGCCATCTTTAGCCTCGGTGATACTCGCCCACAAGGCCATTACTATTTGAAAGTTAATTTGGTAGTTGTGTTCTATGTTTTTGGTAAACGTGGAGTTTAGTTTACTTAAATAGATTTTCTAACGTTTGAGTGTAACGAATCAGTTTGAAAATTACTTTAAGTATTACGGAAGGCGAAATGTTTATTGCGTAGCATTTTTATTAGGGTGATCGTAGGTGGTAAGTGAGTAGGGTATTCACGCTTGGAGTATTTCATTTGGACATGTGAATTATGTATGTAATGTAAGGTCATTCTCGGTTTACACGCAAGCGAGGTATGACAAAGTTACACAGGCATTTGTTTTTAAGATATTTCATATTTGTTAAAATTTTCAAAATGCCAAACATTGCATTGTTAAGAACAGGTGTATCGTTTATCGAAGTCCTCGTCTGTAACTCTGCTTCATTTCGGATCACGGGGCCGACTTTAAGTCGAGTACCTCCTCCCTCCTTAAAAAGGGGGTTAAGGTTGGGTCACCGGAAGTTGAGAGATTTTTCGATTTCACCTCGTTTATTTCATGTAAGAATAACATTTGTTTTATTAATATTAATTGTTACGAGCTTACCGTAAGTTCAGGAATGATAATAGCTTACCAATCATTTTAGAGTAAATGTAAGGCTGCCTCGCCTGTTATTAAGGGTATTTACACAGTAAAAAACATTTAGATATTATGTTAGAACTGATTTGAAAAAGTACACTAACGCTGTCGGTCAGCTTAGTATAACGCTGTCGGTCAGCTTGGCTACTACGCCTTTACTTGTTGCTCAGAGCAAATATCGAGATTCACAAGTTTTCATAGAGTGTAACGCTGTCGGTCAGCTAGGCTACTACGCCTTTACGTATTGCTCAGAACAAAATATTATGATTTACAGATTTAGAGTTTAACGCTGTCGGCCAGCCTGACTGCCGAGCAAAGCGAATATTACAGAATTTGATATTGACATTGTTCATGTACGATGCTGTCGGTCAGCAAAAAATGTTGCTCAGAGTAACATTCAGATGTTGAGATTTGTGATATGGAACGGGATGTATAGTTGCTTGATGTAAATGGACTGATGAATAAATGTCATACTCGCCCACAAGGCCATTACTATTTGAAAGTTAATTTGGTAGTTGTGTTCTATGTTTTTGGTAAACGTGGAGTTTAGTTTACTTAAGGTCATGTTTATGTTGGTATTATTCATTAATTAAGCCAAGTTTAAATACGCAGGTGGCGGTAATGGAATAGAAAATCAGTACATGGTCTTCTTTAGAAACGGGTTTACAAAGTTTGGAGGTATTATAATTGTTGATGATAGAAAATAAATCTAATAAATGTTTAAGTATCAATTAATGACATTGCAATTTTTCTTCGTGGAGTACGCATCCTCTCCTCTGTTCATAAAATATTGCCTATACAGTAGTATAATTTTATATATATTATATATTTACTTTATAATATATTGCAATATGTCTAGTTCTATAAGAAAATAGATTGAATTAAATTATCTAAGATTTGGGAGGAAAGTGCCACGTCCATATTTCATATTTGATTAAAAATATCTACTGCATTGGGCAAATATAGTCGTTTTTATCAAGTAAGTCAAAATATTAATATACTGGCTGTACTAATTCCCCAAAACTTTCTATCATTGACGTCATCGATTTCAATCATTTGCATATAGCAAATCAGCGCAGCGGAAATCGTCGATTTTCTTGACTTTATGGAAAGGTGAATACTGCTCATTGTTTTGTTTTGTTTTGTTTTTTTGACGCCCTAATGTTACGCTAATTGATGATTTGCGATTACCGGATGGATTCTATCTTGTAGTGACGTCACAATAAGGCCACACTGCTATATCTTTTTAATTTTGAGAGATTATCTTCTGTATTTCGTATTTTATTGAATTATTTTTCACGAAAGCGTTCGATTTGGCTAGATCAACTTTCATGCTTAGCACATACCAAGTCTAAGATCTTACTGACATGATTTAGATAGTAGTTAAGCCCCCCCCCCCCCCCGATTTTGAAAAAACGCTTATAGGTACGATGTTTAGTATGAATTTCACCCGAACTTCGAACATGTATAGATATACGCATAATCTAGTCAAATTGGCTTACCTGGTAAATATTCGACCCATGGTTTTCATAAAAGAAACGATAATATTTTTAGCTCAAAACTACCACATGTCCGCCATTTTGTGATTCCATCATGCCTAATATCATTTCTATATGACGTGTTTTGTCAAATTTTTATTTAGAAATTAAATTAATATTTGAATGGTTGTTTATTTATTGACGTAACTATTAAAATTCAATTAAAAGGGACGTAAGTACTCAAGAAGAACGAATTATGATTGTGTTTCTGTCACAGTTTTTATTTTACAATCTCCCCCCAGTATCTACCTTTTCAATCCTCTCTTCCAAGATTTCATCTAACACATCTTTTTTTACCCTTCACCAAATATATACTTACAAAATGTTCCCTGTAATATTTAGAGGTTATGTCACTATGACGTGAAATATGCCTGAGTTCTCCCAATATAGGCCGACCTTGGGAGGCTCTATATTTGGGCAAGAACGAAGGCATATTTTACGTCATAGTGACATAACTGATGTATTACATGCCTTTGTTCCCATGGTTACTTTGTATCAATGACGTGACGTCATGATATTATCATGGTTATTAAAGAAATCTAATATCAAAACGAGGTAAGCGGGCTATATCGGGGTAATCGGGCAATATCGGTGGATATAGCTCGCTAACTTTCCCATTGACTTCCATACAAATGCTTCGCTAGGTATGTAATACATACATGTATATATCTATAATTCTAATATGATACGTGACGTCACAATAGCTAGAACAATTGATTTACTGGTCTATATTGGAGAATGTATGACCACAAAAATTCATAAATGCAAAGAGTTGTGTTTCTTGTCTGTTCATCATATTAGAATCGTAACAAAGACCTCGATTTTATGTTTTATGTCAAATACATGACCTCAAATTATATTCTGGCCATTGCTAAAGACCTCAATCGCTACGCGATTTCGGTCTTTTAACAAGGAACAGAATAAAATGTTCGGTCATATATTACGCCATAAATCATAAAATCTTAGTCTTTATTCCGTAAATAGATAGTACGTATTCTAACACTCATGCATACGAATGCATTATAGACACATACATGTCAAAAATATAGAAACTACTTGTGAATATACTGTATATGTATTTTAGATTATGATTTCCAAACTACAAGTAATATATGTTAATATATTCAAATTATTCCATTTTTATCGAGGTGAATACATGTCGTTCCTTCAGTATAACCAAGATACAGCCATTCTAGTCCGATTCAAGATATTAGCATCTTTCATCCTCAAAAGTCATACGTGCAAGATGACTTGTGACATCATTGGTTATAAACATCAACAACATGGCAACGGATACACCGTTACTATGACTACCCATGCTCATACTAAATATATAAGCTTTGGCGTCATAACAATGAAGGTTGGTTGCCATGCGTATCCAAGTATTTCCTATACTACATAATAATACATACAAGGCTATATAAAATATGTTAATATATTATGAGGTTATATAATGGTTCTTTCTGTATATCGTGTTTATACTCGAGTGAGTATATGGTATATTCACAAGTGAGCGTAGCGAACGAGTGAATATATTATATGCTCACGAGAGTATAAAATACACGATATACAGAATGAACCATTATATAATCTTATCATGCCACTCTAAGTTCAATTACAGTTGATTCGAACACAATCATAACAATTAAAAACCATAAAAATATCCCATAGCCAACTCAATAATACTGATGTTGATCTCGAACCATTTATGACGTGGCTTGATTCTAGCAAATCATGCCGGAACCATTTATGGCGTCGCTTGATTCTAGGAAATCATGAAAATTTTATTTTTTATTAATTAGTTCCCAGAATGCACTTCTACAGTGGTATACGCTGGAGTGTATACGGAGGAGTTGTATACGATGACGATATACCACTCTCCACTGTATATCGTTGCTATAGACCCATGTTATACAACTGTAATTGGACTTAGAGTGGTAAAACCCAACTTACATACATGTTCATACAATATTACTCAATCGTATTTATAATGTAACGTATTTATACGCACACGTATACAAACACACACACGTATATATTATGCTTATTACTCATGTATATACAAGGTTATAGTATGGTATAATAAGGTAATTAATAATGTATATATTTCATTTATACAACAGACGTCACACCAATATGACAATACATGACAACAGTATCAGTAAACAAAATTCCTGAATTATTATCGCAAAGGGTCAATTGTCCCCAGTTCGTGCGAAGTGTAAGAGCAAATGTGACTGGGGCTTAAATGGAACTACCGTTGTAGTATTCCCGATAATGCCTAGCTCACACAGCTTGACAGACAAAACAACAAATGACGGCACGATATAAATGAATCAAACTCTCAATACTCAATTGGCCGTGCGCCGACCAATGAATCTGAGGCTTAAGTGGGGTAGGCATAAGGGAGCAATTCGAGTAAGGGCTATCAACAACAAGGAATTATATTGGCATTCATGATAAATAAAACGGTACAGGCTGAACAAGGAACATGAGTAATGTCACAAGCGAAAAATGTCTTTCGACCTAGGCTTGTGTTTCATTCACATTGTTTGTAAAAGTATATAGCTTGGGCATTGTGGTACCCCTGTATCGATTTACAGTAATCAAGTCGGTGTCGGGACTCGGTTGTCGGTTAATAGGGCTAATCATAGAAATATACAATAATGTTTCTCTAGACTTGAACATTCTTATTACTGAGTTTCAGGTGTTGGTTCAAAGTCTGCACAGAACCTTGCTCTACATCCACGAGCGACCCACATTTCCTTTGTATTTTCATCAAAGCCCCATTTGTCCTCAGAACACTGCGTTCTGCAAAAAGAAATACGTAATTATCTTACATGTAAATCACAGAGGATTGGCTCCAAGATTGCAACTTCTATATTTTTGCAATATATGGGCGTCGTGATTACAAAATTCGAATTCAAATAGGCGCCATTTTGTTCACTTGAACATTTGAGTCGAAATTTTGTTCTTATTGAAATAAGAAAAATTCAAATTTATAGACGGTTATAATTTCAGAAAATAAATTTTCATTGTTGGAAAATATCGAGTTTAGATCCTTAGAGCCAAGCCTCCTTGCATGTAGATCAGACTCATAGACCCACGTTGAGATACAATTAGGTAGACTATATATTTTACAAAGAGGTTACAGTTCAACACGTTTGTTATACAATCAGTATAATTATAATTCATCTCATATCCCCTCCATCATTTGGAAACTAGCTCTCAAAGCGTCCTGTTACTGTTATTGTCATTTCTATTCGATCTCACCTTGATATCTGTCTGTCTACCGTTGGGGTCTTTAATTGAAATGATTGCAAGAATTGAGCGTCGTCGTGTACAGAGCAGGTTACGTTTCTCCATCGAACACTGAAGCAGTCGAAACAATGAGCACCTGAAAGAAAAACAATAATAGAACAAAGAATAACAATTAATGATAGAAATGAAAAATAAATAAATAAAGATAAGATTTTGTGCATGATACTATTAGCTATTCTAAGACGTGTTATAACCACGTTACGATCATGCCATAACAAATCAAGACCGGTAGACATGTTAAAGTGCATATATAAAATAGGTATTCACAACCATTTTCAAAAACAAATCGTACCTTTTTCACATCGATCACCTTCAGCTCCAGAGGGGCAGAGACATCTAAAATTTCCCCCAAACGTGTTTATACATACGGCCTTCTCGCCATAACAAGGGTTCGATCTGCATGCATTTTCTACATTAAAAGAAATAAATGCACTCACATAATTCATAGAATGGTTAATTATCTGCTTCACAGGAATGAGTCTCTTTATCTTCTCCATCTCGAATAACTTCACTAGAGCATGAACATATACAAGTCAATGGCAAATTTTGACAGCATTATGTAGAGTAATGTAATGTAATATAATATAATATATATAATATAATATAATATAATATAATATATATTTAGATATGATTGCCATATTTACATATTTACGTTTCTCGATATACCATTTGTGCAATCTGTTTATGAATATTTAATTACTTTAAACAGATTTGGTTATCAAGAAAAAGGAGCTTGATTTACGATCTTTTATATTTTTCTATAGCAGACAATGTTCTATCACTTACCATTTGAAGGCCATGAGCAGTTGAAGTTGGAATCAGGAACGTCTAAAAAGTAAATTGTTTGTGTATTATTTCACACATGTAAGAGATTTTTTCAAGCTAAAGGTAACAGAGGTTAACATTATTTATCATTACTTATTGGGCAGCTCTTGTATGTCTATCAATTTATTATTAGTATTTAACTGAGTGATATATTTGTATATCGTATGATCTGTAAAATGAAACCTTCTGATTGGTCAGTTATTGTGCTGTACCAATCTGTATTGCTACTGAGATTGTCCCCGTTGATCATCTCCGTTGCAATACAGAAAATATTGGTACGGAGGGGACAATCTCCGTAGCAATACAGAAGATCACACGATAAAAAAGTTATTGAATGATTTGAAGTGCAATACAGGATATATTCTTTCTCGATATTCTGTATTGGCATTCGACTTCGTCTCGTTCCAATACGGGATTTTCCGAGCAGAATACCAGAATTTTCCGGATGGTCAATTTTCATCATTTTCGTAATTTTAATTTTCCTAATGACAATAAACCTCACATTGGATAACATTATAAAGACAATATTTCCGACATTTAATTTTCCGAATTAAATGATTAGGCATAATTACCACATATACAGTATACAATTATTGACCTCACCACAGGTCAACCGGCAGAATTGTATATCGAGACTGTAAACTGAGACACTACTGTTGACAGAGACCGTAGGTCGAGGTCAACAGTAGTTTCAAAGTTTACAGTGGAGGTATATGATTTTGACGGTTGACCGAATACAGAGGTCTGCAATTGTTTTGTTAGTCAGAAGAAGCTAATAATACACATATAGACGACAGTCATCAATCATGGCTTTCTCCGAACCACGCCAGCAATAATTTTTAAGAAAATCTGAAGACAGTGGTAGCTAAACTCTCTGTTTTCGGCACATCACTGTGTACTCACTAGTAAATTAATGTTAATTTTACGTTTCTATTTGTATTTTCGCTATACTTGTCGTCTAGCAAAATCAAAATATCACTTTCATCAACGTTTACAAAATGTCCATCTCCCATGTTTTTTTCTGTAAATATTATGACTTCATATTCCCCATAATTCACAAGTGTAGTACAGTAACACACGCGGTCAATAATATGATATCACATGATGCACAGGTGGGGTACAGGCAAAAATGTTGATCGCCAATTGACCAATCAGATGCGAGTGTTTACACTGAGGTACTAACATATATACTGTATTGCACTTTATATCATTCAATAATTTATATGTGGAAAAAATTGAATGACATATCCTGTATTAAGTAGAAATATACTCTTTACTTGGTCTATCATTCGACACGACCCTTTGACGGCCATTAAACAGACATTTTGCCCAAGCACCTAGTAGATTCCCTCCACAGCCCGCATCCATCAGTTTTTACTCTCTGGAGTGTTCCCTAACCTTGGCAACCTAAGCTCTATTTAGAATCTTACCTTCGCTGCAGTTGATCCCTTGTTTGTTTGGGGGACATATACACTGGAATCCACCATTCCAGGGGATAGCAAAACCCGCGTTGCACGGAGCTAAAAATAAAAAAAAATCGTAGGTAGAATCATACTAAGAATATTTCAGGATGCCAATGAGTTTGATTTACCAACGTTTTTGATCAACCAATGAGTTCGGTAATTCATGTCATAATTTACTTAACCATGATATCGCCGGGTAAATCATGGATTCTGGTTAATAGTCATGAACAATAAGCAACTCAGCAGGACAATATGGGTTTATTATAGAACTTAAACCAATTAATTGATATATGGTCACAGGACCATAATCTTTTTATTAAAACATAATATCGCGATCTCTTAATTAAAATATAAATTCACGATCTCTTAATGCAAATTTAATTTCGCGGTCTCCTAATTATAATATTACATCGCGATCGATCAGTCGATAGGTCAGGAGTTCAAATCAATACGTGCCAGAGGGTATCTACAATTGGTTTCGCGGCAAAATTGGAATTCATGACGAGAACTACATCTAAATTTAGTAACAAAACTCACTTATTCGTGAATTCAAAAACAAGATGCAATAGCTGAAACTTTATAAACCAATCAAATCTGAAGGATTTCACTCAGAACAATCCTATATAAATGAAACATTGAAATTGATTTAGTTGTTCTGAACTTTGTCACTTACATTTTACAAATAAATCGTTTTGATATCGAAGAGATGCTACTTTGACAATATGCTGCAATTATAGAAAGGTATGTGTCCACTGGGTTTTGCAGGATAGTTCATAATATCTAAACATTCATTTGATTTAGCTTTCTTGGTAATAATTTCAATGCAGTTTTGTAAGACATAAACTTGAGTTTTCAAAATAATATCCACGTGAGAAAATCAATATGGCGGCTCAAATTTCTCAAAATTCATCAAAATTATTTATTTTGTTCTTCTGACTGAGCCTTAGCGACATAGATAAATAAATAACATAATTAGAACATCATTACAATCAAAATGTTTGATGCTTTATTTCAAAATATCGAATTGTTGCACAAACTGAATAGCTTGAATATCAAAACTTTGCAAATTGGTTCAAAATTTCTAAAAGAAACTGTTTATTCTAGGGACCAACCCGCTGTTTCACTCCAACTACAATCAGCCCAGGTCAGGGAGTGATAATTCAGTTTGTCATTTCTTTTGGTAAGACATAAAACACTTTATTTGTAGTTGGGTACTGTTTACCTTATCACAAACCCAGGTTACGTCCAAGGTGCACAAAGTTAATTGCAATTCAATTTTGATTCGTTCTTGTGTATTTTGAGGACCAACCTATATAACTATTGATTTCGTCATAAAACACATGTAGACAACTGAATACACTTAATTGTCTTTTGCTTTATGTGTGTGAGCGACTAAATCATTTATCTTTATAAAAGTGTTATTAACAGGAGGGAGATTATGTTTATTCTACTTTCCTATCAGGTTATATACAACACTTCCATAATTCAATATTTAATCCCATATTACAAGCATTTCTTCTAGTAATTTTCAACTATAACTATTTAGGCCAATCCTATCTTTCAAATTTTATCCCCAATCTTATTTCTATATTTCAAACCCCCATAAACCATTTCCTAAAAGATATACACCATGAATCGTGCTATTTTGAGTGTCTGGGAAGTTATTTTTTGATGTTACTTTGTAAACTGTTATTCTCAATTATGTATCGTATTGTGTTGTTCATTATCAGTTATATTTTGTCGTAGAATGTAGAGTACAATGTTTGTCAGTCAATTTTACATCAATGTTTCCCAATTTTACATCAATGTTTCCCAATTTTACAAATATATTCATTTTACAAGTGCAATAAATTGAATCATGAAACAACTATTTCTCTTGCCTGTGATAAAATGTTATAAAATACAATCTAATTGATAGAATATTATATGTTATTGAAATATGACATGATATGTCGATCTAATCTTCTTTAGGTCGATAAATCATAATTATTATTATATAAATGTTGAACACATGTAAAATATTTCATATTTCTTATTCCAGGCCTGTCTGTCTGCCTGTCTGTTTGTCTGTGTGCACTGTGTGTGCCCTTACTGCCTGTCAGTCAGTCAGATTTAAAATTTATAATTGATAAAACATATTTTTACACTTACTTTTTTTGATACTGAAAATAAATTGATTTATTGCTATTTTAAATCTTATTTTGTGATTATTGGTTCAAGAGACTCTATGAAGCTATAATTGTAATCGACCCACGTGCACTCGCCCACTATCCTTCATAATAAATGATACAGAAGCTCAGATATAAGAGGTTGCTGAATATTAAAATCACAGAGATCGAGAAGAAGCGGGTCCCTTTAAAGGTCAGCAATTTGAATAGCCCTTCATTTAAAGTCTTGGTCACATTTGCTCTACTACGGACGAACGGCGGCGGTAGGCTCGAAACATTGATATCGGGAATCTACATCGTATTGCTTATTCCTATACTGTATGTTGCTCTCGAGCTTGGAAAGCTACAGCTGCCATACGGTTGTCGGAGATCAAATGTGACTGAGGCATTGGCGTCATATACTAAATCCCATGGATTAATATACAAGATGGAGTGGTCTTATAGTAGAAGTATATCACTATACATGTTACAAAATTCAATAAAGGATAAAAACAAAGTCCTTACCAATCTTGCAGTGTGTACCGTTTCCTTGATAACCAGAAAGACACGTGCAACTAAAATTTCCGTTTGTGTTCGTACATTCTGCATTATCGCCACAGTTGTTTAGCGAATGGTCAGTGCATGGATCCGGTGCCTCACCTGATGAATAGTTTGATGTTGCGTTTTTATTCTTGTTTTAAGACGAATATTAGGTATTTGAGATCCAATGTAAAATCATTGATGTGAGAATGAGACAGAAACAATGTTGTACTTGTATTGTATCAAATTGTACTATAGAAATAGAATTAATAATGATAGAGATAATACTTTACATGATGTCCCATTCCCTACAAATCCCGATTTGCAAGTACAGTTAGCACTTCCATCTAAACCAGTGGAACATTCAGCATTGACGTCACAGTTGTTCAGCACAGGATCTGCACACGGATCACTGCCTGAAACATGATTTGACGGTAAGTCTTTATTTTTTGTATTAAGACGGTCAATCAAGTATAAGAGACACAATTTGATATTACTAATGTGAAAGTGAATAAAAAAATTGTATCCCTCGATGCTTTTGCTACCTTCAAATTCAAAATTTGGGACGAAAGAGAAACGTTTTTATCAACAATCTTTCCCGATTATCTTGATCACTCATGACAAGCATGACTTATGCCTTAACTAATGACAAGCAACAAAATAGGCAACCGTGTAAGTCTTTTATCAAACAAATGATCACCTTTGCGTTTCAAAAAGCTTTTTAGCGAGACATGGAATATCTTAATTTTGAACACCGCCTTCCTATTTCCACAATATGAAGCATCAGACTTCCGTCGCATTCAAACCTTTTATAAAAGCATCATTTTGAATAAAATAGCTACATACATGTTAGATGCTCATACTTACTTGTGCTACAGTTCTCAGAGGCCATCGTCGGGACATTGACTGGAAAAAGGCTCCCACCACAAAGGTTCTTTGTACCCGGACTTAGGTGGTTGCTTGTGAATTGGAACGCTAACATGTGTCTTGGCACATTGCCATTACATCTATTTAGTGACTCATCCCCATCTGCATTATATGTCGGATCTTCGATAGCGATTCTATCTTGAGGTAGGTAATCCGGGTAAAAAGGACCAGCTCTAGTTGAAGCGATTTGGGTCTTGTATGCAATGAAGTCAACTATATTTGCTAAAATGGAATGAAAAGTTTTGGATTGGTAATGCTATTTATGACATTGCAAATGCAATTGCATTTACTTTACTAATTGTGGACGACTATATTGAAGAAGCCATCGATAATTGTAATTTACTGCGATTCATAAGAGAGCTTTCGATAAAGAGTTGTTTTGAAAAAGAAACCAGACTCCTTTGGCGCATCCGAAGGATTTTTAAAGAGGGGGGGATTTTGCGTACTGATGGATTGTACCTCCGACACATCCACGCAAAGCTTCTACGTTGCATTGCTAAGGGAGTAAGTGAAAGTTTACTTTCAAGTTTACCATATGTATTACTTATATTGAAAGCAGTATATCGTTCCTTGAAACTCTCCTGCTTATGAAAGATGTTAAAACTGCCTTGTCACGTTTTCAATGTACGGAAAAACAATTTTCCATTCACATTCGTATATTCATTTTTATTCATGGATGTGTGTACTATTGTATTGTATTGTATTGTATTGTATTGTATTGTATACTAATCAAATGTGTCTCATTTCCAACATATTTGATATGGTTTACCTGTATTTGAAGTGTCTCCATAGTATAAGCCGACACCATCAGGATACGTAGAATCTGCATTTTGTATATTATTGCTAGGTGGGGGGAACTCGATGTTTGCTTTTGGGTTGGTCATGGATTTAGAGCCAATTACAAAGTAGCCCAGACCACTTATACAATAGCCATCCAGCTCTATGGTTCTGTATGGTAGTCCTCCTGTTTCTCCATTATGAAATATTAATGTGTAGTTGTCCATGACAATGTCCATTGGGCTTGTATTGTAAAGTTCTACGTATTCCAGAGTTTCGGACGGTGGTTGAGCTGCGTTCAGTTCATTTATCAAAATCGGTTTTCCTAAAATATAATGGTAAAAAGTACATTCTGATTATAGTTTTTGCGAAGATATTACAACTGTAGGTCTACAGTGTAACACATGAGTGTTTTAACAGGCGAATAAAATAGTCCATGGTATGATTTCAGAATGTGGATAATCCGAAGAACGCTTAATGCCTAGGTCACATTTGCTACGATCCATCGGCCGGCGCCCGGGCGATTTGGTGTGTTGTTCAATATTGTATTCAATCTTGAACAAGATACTCAATCGCCCGGGTGCCGTAGTGAAAATCGGAGCAAATGTGACCAAGTCATTAGTGCAGCAACATTTGTACCAATAAGGGGGTTCATATGACTTGATTTTTTGTAAATTCCATTTGCTGAACTCCCGGCTTTTGAAAATACGTCGAAATACGTTTTTTCATCACAAGGAATCAAAAAAGTAACCATTTTGTTTCGAATGTTATACATTTTATGAAAAAATTCAACAAACTATAAGATTTATTTTATCATGAAAAAATATACAATTGAATTGCTAAATTAATAGGCCCACGGTATGGTAAGATATGCCTTATAGGGTTTCTTTTGAACTGATTCGCTTAGTCAATGCAAAAGTCAATATATATATATATATTATGCCGACACCGGCAGGGCCAGTGATTTTATGTAGTTTTTAATAATATGTAATTTTATATATTGGCGTGACACTTAAATAAATAAATACATTTATCCAATACTTGGACGTGTTACGGGTACATAAAGCCGGTTTGTAAAAACTTATATTTTCATCAGCGGGCAGATATAGCTTTACGTCCCGGTCCGAGCGGGCAGATAAAGTATATCTGCCCGCTACGTCATAATCGCTGTTCCCGTATTAGTTCTTTTTTGTAATACGTTCGCATACTGTAAACGCCAATGGAGAAAAACGCAGACGATCGCGATCTATGTGATGCTTTAGAGAAGGGAAGTGGCAGTATACCCTGTTAATAATCAAAGATTTGAACAGGAAAAAAACAAGAATACAAAACTGGACATGAATATTTTAAGAATATTCCACGGTTGGTTGCAAAGTTTCTGAACTTTGGCAAATTGAACAATGTGATTAATGGTATGGGATAAACAGATCATCCTATAGTCGGTTCAGGATATTTGGATTATCCCTTGGCCAATATAATATATCTACCCTCGGGACCTACGGCCCTCGGGTAGATATATTATATTGGCCTCGGGATAATCCCAATATCCCGAACCTCATATAGGATAATCTCTATACATACATACATACATATATCATCGTAGCAACATTTTCTGTCTAAACATAAATCGACCCCGTATGATCCGCATGATACTCGAAAAGCAGCTTGGATGTTTCTACATTTTACATTTTCTACAGTTAAATTTTTAAAATCAGGAGAACATACAAGTATCATCTATCAAATTATAATTTTGAAATTATAGTTTTGAAACATTGTTTAATTTGTGTAATGATACAAAATATTCGTTCATTGTGCATAATTATAAAGTATTAAGTTCATGTACAAATATGAATTTCACTTCTTCAATACCCCAACACCCCCAGCCAATTTTGAGTTAGTATGATATAAACATAATTTAAAAATCATACCAGAAATATCAGCATTTGTTACTCCAATGATAAGAAATGCAAGCCATATCGCCTGAGAAATCTTGGATGATACCATTTTAATCTGAAAATCAAAACAAAACAGTACAGCAAACCACATCTTTGATGATATATTTTTAATCGGGAAACTAAACTATATGGGATAGCTATCCATGAGGATGCAACAGTGAAGAATGTGCAGCTGATGAAAACTCTAATTCTGAGGCCCAGGAATACGTTAAAAATGTTTAAAAAGTCCGCTAGTGTACTGAGTTGTTAATGCGTGGTGTATAGGAGGTGAGAGGTAGGTCACTTCGATAGTTTTCCACACGAGAAAATCCAGGGGTCACTACGTTCATATCAGTGTATCTCGGTACATACAGCAAACATTTCTTTTACATTACAGGAAACCCTTGTCAACATATAAAACTTAATAATTAAACAAAGAAATAAAATAGCTTATCACAACAACCGACGTATTAGGTAAATTGTTACAAAAATGAACAACCGAAGTTTGCCAGGACACTTTAGATGTTTACGAAGAGATGAAGGCCGAACTGCATTTTGATTGGTTGTTCACTTTGTATTTGAAAAGTCCATTTCAGGTATTTTTTAGTTGTAATAAATTCTGAAATAATATGTACATGTTTTGTATTGTACGAGGGGTGATCCAAAAGTCTTGGACGCCCTGCTCTAATTTTGTTGGTTTTTGATAAAATTACTTCAAACTTCCCAATAATAAAGACCAACAACTTAACTACTTTGTGTATTAATTTCATGGAGAAATGATATATTTTATGTAGTTTTCTAGATAGTTTTTAATAGAGGGACCCTGCCACCCGGAACGGTATTCACACATGGCAACTTTCAGCCTTAAATGTTGCCGCCATTTGACTTGTTTCGCAAGTCTTGACCACTATCTTTCTTTGAATTTTGAGTGTTAAACCATGTTAGTTTACTTCCTTTGTTACTAGGCCACCGTGTAATTATGTTTTAATTATAATGTCACATATGACGATGGCAATATATGTCAAATTCAAAGAAAATGACATCAGACAAGCAACCCTCATTCTGGTATCATTTGTGCTCCAAGATGACTGCTGAAATGCAGAACATGAAAAAATCAAAGTGGAACAAAGAATACTACAAACATATTCTCACTATTATTGACCTTGAGCAGCTACCATATGCATGATGCAGTCTAGATATGGCTCCGTGTGAATTTCTTCCTTTTCTCCAAGTTGAAAAGGAGGGTTGAAAGAAAACGTTGAAAGAAAACGTTTTTATTCATTGGATAAGGTTTAGAGTGGCACTCCAGCAGCATTTGTATCACATAAGCAATGGCAGTTTCATGAATGTCTTACATTCATTGGTAAAGCAGTACGAAAATTGTGTTCAAATTTGTTTAAAATATTAGAAAAGTAGGTCTTAATATGTGAAGATGATGATGGCAGATGACAATCAGATTGAAAATCGGAAAATCTCTCATATCATGACTGGTATTAGGCTGTGCACCTGCACCTGCACTGGTATTTGCCATATTAACAGTTGTGACGTGATTTGCTATATTTAAATACCGTTCCGGGTGGCAGGGACCCGGTATTTAAAAATATTTAGAGAAGTAGCTAAAATATATCATTTTCTGGTGAAACGTATACACAAAGTTGTTAAGATGTTGATCTTTATTATCTGAAAGTTTCATGTAATTATATTAGAAAATAGCAAAGTTAGAGCGAGGCGTCCAAGACTTTTGGATCACCCCTCGTATTTTTAAAAATGATTTTTTTTATCTTTCAATCTATCTTTATTTCTATCTAAAATATGTTTTAAAGTACAAATATACATAATTGCATTAAAATGATGCATTTTAATTTCATGTGTATCTTTACAATAGTTGACAAATATGATATACCACATTTCATTAAGCCATTCATTAAAATGTTTGTAGTCAATGTTTCGTGTTTTATATCCAAAAATCAATGTTTTAATATCTGTTAAATCTATTGTGATTTTAAAATGATTAAAAATGTACTCTTCTAATTGTTTTAGCACTCTGTTTACTCTTTTACGATCTAAAAATAAATGTTTATAATTTTCAACTACGTTACATAAATCACAGTTTTCAGTTTGACTTATTTGCCATCTTTTAAGTAAGAACTTACACCCCAGTCATATTTGTCGCACGGCGGCCGCAAGTCGACCGCAGATCAATTAAATCGGTGAATTTCTGCGGCGAGCGTAGAAAAACTACGCTCGCCTTGCGGCCTCCGTACGGCGTATGCAGATTTTTACAGGCCACAGGGAAGGCGTAGAAATTATAACTCGGAGTTATAATATTTGTTCATTTCTAAGGTCCCCGTTGAAATCAACTGGCTCAACAAGATTGAATCATTATTTGTCAATGTTTCACGATCACTTTTCATTTGATATTACATCCTAGCACTATGAATTACATTTATAAATTGTCCCGATGTAAATAAAATGAAAAAAAGTATTATTTATCAACAGAAATTTCAAATTCACCGTGCGGCTGCCGTGGGAAATGTGACTGCAAAAGTATGAAAGCGCAGAAATTCCACGGCGAGCGTAAAAATGTTACTGGCCGCAGAAATGATAGACCGCAAGGTCGCCGTAGGAAATGTGACTGGGGTTTTACATGGTAAAATGTTATGAAGCAATTTATATTACAATTTGCATGTCTGATTTGTCTAATTTGACTATATTCCGACATCAAATTGATTTTATTATTGAGTTTGTTTAGCACATGTCTTTGGGATCCCATTAAGTCATTTATGTAAATAATCTCAGAATTTATCCAATTCTTTAAATATAGACTTTTGTTTTTGAAGATTACATTTGAATTGTTCCAAATAACTTGCTTTCTGATGTCAGCAAATGATTTGTTTCTGGAGGATGCTCCTCCAATAAGGCCCCATGCATCTAGAATGTCTTGGTAGAATTTAGGAAGAATGTTAAAGTTAGTTATATTTTTGGTAGTTCCATATGCACAGCTGGAGATGAGTAACTCATTTTTTCCTAATCCCAGTTTACTTAAAATTTCTCTTGCTAGCAAGTTCCAATTGTCAGATGCATTACCGTAAAATATGTCAATGATCCATTTTATTTTAAAAGAGCTAAATTTAGACTTAAGATCTGGCATCGAAAGTCCACCTTCCATAATAGGCCCAATATTAAAGTTGATCGTTGTATTTTGTCTCTTTTTCCGTCCCATAGAAAATTGTAAAGTTCTGTATTTATTTGTTTGATAAAATTGTCACTGGGTGTTTCAAGACAATTTAGTTGAGATAATGCTAAAGTTCTAATGATAGCAATCTTTCCATATAAAGTCTTTTTCGTCTTTTCCAAAGATTTAAGGCTCGTTTTAATTTGTCAGCTTTATTGTTCCAGTTTAACTCATGCACTGCTTGTGAATCACATCCAGAAAAGACACCAAGTGATTTAATTTCTGTTTTCCATGCTATATTCAATAGTTTGTCATTTTTATTGTTTCTTAAACTGCCTAATTTTATGCCTTCTGTTTTTTCAATATTAAGCTGCAGGCCTGAAACAGCTCCAAATCTCTCTATTTCCTAAATAGCCGCATCATATTTTTAAATATGATTGACATAATAAAAAGGGTCTTAAATATTTATTTTTTATTTAATTACACGTGTGATGCTACGTAATTTCCCGGGAAATGGAATTGCACTTCGGGGATTCTACCCTCATTTTCTGCAAATGTGTCGATCTTTTTTAAACTGAACGACAAACCCTGGTACATTTTATATTTTTCTTTCAAATAGAAGTCGTATAAAACTAAGATATTCGCAAGAATCAACATATCTGCAGTAAAGTTTTAGTTCGTTACAGTTAGTGATGTAACGACTTTGTAAGAGACTTCTGGATGTTCATTTTCTGCTCATTCGAAGGGCTTCACAATTGTCATCGTACGGAAGTGGACATTCACTCAGATCCATTTGAAATATATCAGCAACTTTTGAATAACAAATCCAGTGGTAAATCGACTGATTGACGATATATGAATAACGATTAATTAAGACGATAAAATGTGCTACATGTAGGTCAGACATTATTTACTACTACTTGGGACTTATTAATTGTCACATTATCATGAATGTCTTTGGGCATATCTGTTTATTTATGTATATCATGTGTGCTTATAATTGTCCTGCCCATTTACTTATGTTTATATAACTGCAAACTTAGTGGACTCTTCACACATTCACTGGAATCATATCAAACTTCCCATCTGATCCTAGGATAGAAATAAACATGATTTCTAGAATAGACAACTGATGAAAAGTATAAATAACTTTAATTTCACAAAAGTATCTGTATCTGGATCATGTCTTCTGAAATGGCTTTAGATAAACATAATATATGTGTCGCTTAAAGACAGACTTTCTGAACCACCTGGTTGCTCATTAGACCTTATAAGGCAAGTCACATCCATTAGGCTTGTCAATCAAATCCTTATCCAATCAGCTAATAGTGATGCTTTATGGGATAATATTTATGTTTATAAACATAACAAAAGCACTTGTTCTAATTTCATACTTTACAGTCAGTGAACATGAACTGAACGATAGCAATTGACCAACATTTTTTTAACCAAGAGTCTTCATACATTTTGTTATGCTTGCTACATAGATTTTCCAGTTAATATATGTAAAGTAAATGTAGGTCTCCTTTGGGTAAATTGATTCATGTTCTAATAATCCCTAACATCTAAATTTGATATCATAAAGCAATTGCTTTTGGGGTCATTTCAAGAATTAAATGTAGATACCAGCACAAAAGCTTGAAATGTATGGGAAATTCTGTACAAATTGAAAACTTGTATTGGTTCTTTCATCTGGTCCCTACCTACCACAAAGGGTTGCACTAAGTTATGCCCTTCATTTATGCAATAATTCTGCACTTTTCAACCTCTATTACCATGTTGTACCAGGGTGTCTCCAAATTTGAAATTGATGATCTTTTATATTCATGTAACCATATGCAAATGGTAAGAGATAATGAATTGTCCCATTTCCTAGGGTTGTTCCATATGAGACCCGTTCTTATAAATTTTCTCTAAGGTAAAAAACCTTTGTAAACAGGTTTATGGACAAATGGAACATCAAAAATAGTGACTTTGTCCTTGTGTTGTTCAGGAGACCTCATTCTTACACAGTCATTATACAGTGAACATGTTTCAACCATCAGAAAAATAGAGAGCTGATGTTCAAGATTGAAATAACAGGATATGAAACAATAAATTAAAAACAGAGCTATCTTCACACTGACTTGCCGAAAGTACTCGTAAAAGCAAGTTTGAGCAAAAAGAAACTTTTGTAAAATCATCAAACTCTAGAAAAGGCAATAGATGGGTTTCTTATATCAATGTTAGCCAAGTGAACCATGACCAAGTACATTGTAGTAATCTCAAGTCTTTGGAACAGTATACAGTTATCTTGAAGTATTTTACATCAAGCAAATACATTGGGTTTTTGTAATTATATAATGTCTTTTGAGTCATATCTTTAATATACCATATGTAGGTAAGTAAATGACACATTTCTTATGATTAACAGTAGTATGAATTATGTTTAAATTGCAATGGTACTTATAACATGTGCTTTTGAAAGATTTACAAACAAACTTTTCATCATGTGACCCTGTACTTATAACATGTGCTTTTGAAAGATTTACAAACAAACTTTTCATCATGTGACCCTGAATACCTCACCTTATTGGTTGAAATTTGAATTAAGCCACTCCTCTTAATTAAAAAAATTACCAATTTTCAAATAGGGATTTCTAAAAAAGTAGTGCATAATTGCAATAATTGATTAATAGATTTCAAGGAGAATGTATTCACGAACATCTGTGACAATTTTTATGGTGATCTGTTGGCTACAACTAACAGAAAATCAAAAGTATTCCTCTTGATTAGAATTTTTCATATTCCTAATATTTTCAAATTTAGAATGACTCCATTTTTACTGGTCAAGCTGCTTTTATAGTGGAGGCTCTGTCTTTAAAGCAAGAATTTATTTCAGTTTTTGACGTTTTATAAGAACGTCATTTATTAACTTAAACTAGAAAAACAGCAACTCCACGGAGTAGCAAATCCCACCGAACAAAACATGTTTTGATAAAAAAAAATTGAGCCAAATTCATCCACTGGTATTTGAATTATCAAAGATTATGTCTTGATGAAACATGGTTGTCATTTTGAAATTCAGCTGTCATCTTTAGATTTCTTCTTTAGCAGATAATGTCCTTCCAATGGAATCTGGTTTATCAAAGATTACTTTTTTAATGAAAAATGGCAGCCATTTTGAAATTCAGCTATCGCCTTTGAAATTTCTTCTGAAGCAGATCTCCTTTTTCCCTAAACATCAGCATATAAAATTGGAACCAAATCTATCCACTAGTATTTGAGTTATCATTAATTACGTTTTTTTACGAAAAATGGCGGCCATTTTGAAATTCAGTGGCCATCTTGAAATTTTATTTTTGAGCAGAACTTCTTTGTCTCTAGGCATCAGCTTATAGAATTTGAACCAAATCCGTCAACTGGTATTTGAGTTATCAAAGGTTACGTTCTTTTATGAAAAATGGAGGCCATTTTGAAATTTAGCTACCACCTTGAAAATCCCTTCTCGAGCAGAGCTCCTATGTCCCTTTACTTGGCATCATCATGTAAAATTTGAACCAAATCCATTCAATGGTAATTGAGCTATCAAAGATAATGTTTTTTTTTATGAAAAATGGCCGCCATTTTGAAATTTAGCTGCCATCTTGAAAATCCTTTCTTGAGCAGAGCTCCTATGTCCCTAGGCATCAGCATCTAAAATTTAAACCAAATCCATTCAATGGTATTTGAGTTATCAAAGATAACGTTTTTTTACAAAAAATGGCCACCATTTTGAAATTTAGCTGCCATCTTAAAAAACCTTTCTCGAGCAGAGCTCCTATGTCCCTGGGCATCAGCATCTAAAATTTGAACCAAATCCATTCAATGGTATTTGAGTTATTTTGAAATTTGGTGGCCATCTTTAAAATGTCTTCTTTAGCAAGGCTGCTTTGTACCAAGGCAACAGCTTATAAAATTTGAACCAAATCCATCCACTAGTATTTGAGTTATTAAAGATTATATTTTTTCCGAAAAATGGCCGCCATTTTGAATTAAGCGGCCATATTGAAAATTCCTTCGCGAGCAGAGGTCCTACACTCATAAGGCATAAGCCTATAAAATTTGAATGAAATCCGTCAACCGGTATTTGAGTTATTGCCCGGACACACGAACGGACGGACGGACGGCTTTTCTATATCCCCCTCGAACTTCGTTCGGTGATATAATTAAAGTTTCAAGTATTCTTACTCACTATACTGTATATTGTACATATTCTGCTCGTGTATGTGTGGGTATAAGCATCTGCAAATGATGCCACCTACTATATGTAATTATATTAATACTATGAACTATTAACATGAATAAATTGAATTGAATTGAAAAATTGAACTTAATGTGTATAACATTTATATAACAATTTTAATACTCTCAATACCGATACACTGCAGGAACCTTATTTGAATGAACCTTAATCCTGACTGACGATACTTGATAATGTCAGCAGCCCTGCGTAAGGATGGTGACGAAGCTCTCTTTAAGAAGTGAAGTTGAACGAATGCAAAGGGTAAACGATATTGGGATCAAATTATGAAATCCATCATTTGTTGCTCCTAAAGGGGGCAGATGCCTCAATGCGCTCAGTTATCTAGGTTCATTGCTAATGTTAGGCTTATTTTTTCCCTTTTCTTGGTCATAAAACCGGTTTTGTAATCATTTGATCAACCCTAGTTGTATCTTGCCAAATAAACCATTTACAACAGTCAATCATTGAACGCACACAGGCAATGTGCCGCTTGGCAACTTGGGAAGTGTCCATTACTTTATTAACCGAATAAATTTTGTAGTTATCATATTGAATAGAGTGGTACATACCTTTTCGATACCATCTTTTCATCGAAAACCCGCCTATTGGTATAATCTGGAATACGACTTAGATTTGATGTTTAAATCAGCGGGATCTGATTGCTATAGTTTAACTTAAGTTTGATAATGTTAACGAGTTGATTCGTTGTCTAGACAGCCAAAACCCCGACATAGAAAAGTGGATTAGTCACGTCCAGATTTGCTGTACAGTTATTTTCGGGCTAAACTGAAAAATTAACCGAAAAGAATTCACTAACAGCGATGTGACTAGATTTTCAATATAATGTAAATAATATTGGCGACCATGCTTTACTGATGATAGAGGCATATATAATTTCATTTCGGACTTTGGCGGTTGACTGTTTGAAAGCCACCATTTATGCACCATCAAAAGTGTGATTGATCCCCCCCCAACCCTTCACAAGGGCATGGATGAGAAATTTGACCTAAAATTGGCCTGTCTAATTCCTTACCCCGAGGCAAAGTAAATGTGTCAATACTGCAAACAATATCGTGTATATGTCCTACTTTTAGCTATTCAATAAGTCTGTTTCATATACCATATACCTCTCTTTGATATATCCGGTGTAAAAGGGTAAGATGTCCTATCAAATTATCAAATTATGGTCCTACTCTCCATTGATTTATATGGTGACCTAAATACAACTCTTTCCCTTATCATCTTATACGCAATCAGGGCAAGTAAGGGCCGTTAAGAAAGGGGACCATAATCCCTAGGGGACCATCATTTCTTTCACACCTGGTGTAAAAGGGTAGGAGGTCCTATCAAATTATGGTCCTACTCTCCATTAATTCATATGGGGACCTAAATACAACTCTTTCTCTCATTTTCTTATACGCCATCAGGGCCAGTAAGGGTCGTTAAGAATGGGGACCATAATCCCTAGGGGACCATCATTTCTTCCACACCTGGTGTAAAAGGGTAGGAGGTCCTATCAAATTATGGTCCAACTCTCCATTAATTTATATGGGGGCTTAAATACAACTCTTTCTCTCATTTTCTTATACGCCATCAGGGCCAGTAAGGGCCGTTAAGAATGGGGACCATAATCCCTGGGGGACCATCATTTCTTTCACACCGGATGTAAAATGGTAGGAGGTTCGATCAAGTTATGGTCCTACTCTCCATTGAAATATATGGTGACCTAAATACAACTCTTTCCCTCATTATCGTATACACAATCAGGGCCAGTAAGGGCGGTTGAGAAAGGGGACAATAATCCCTGAGGGACCATCATTTCTTTCACACCGGGCCTAAAGGGATCTTTCAATTGAATAAACCAATGCTATCTTCGTGTTAGTACATGTTATTAAAATGCATGATTTTTTAAAAGGATACATATCATTTTATACGGGCGGAGTGAAAATGATACATAAAACATGTTATTTCAATAGTTATACCCCTAATATTTTCATAGATGAACTTTTGCCAATAAACCACGACTGGTTGGGTTAAAATGACACTCCAATTTATAAGCAACTCCCTTGCATCCAATTTAATGTTGATTTCGATAAAAAAACAATAGTATTAGTCCAGTTTGTCACTCCTATTCATCATATAGAGAACCTATGAATTGTTAAAAACACGATGTTTTTTGGTTAATTTATGACGATAAGGGTTTCCTGAAGAGATTTAGCTGGGTTAGACAAAAAGTTAGTTTGGGGAAAAAATAATATAGGCTAATTAGCTAGGTCATTATTGAAATATTGATTGTTTTCTTTATCTTATAATGTAGAAATGCTAGCAGCATAATTAGTTTGTCTAAACTCGTGTTTTGAGGGTGACTGAATAAGATATTGTTAAAGTATACAAGAATAGATAGGGTGCATACACTCCCCTCCATAAGTTTGGCAACCTTAGCTCCCCCATTGAACTACGTGTTAAAGCTTCTTTACCTTTGAATTTTTATTTACTTAACCTGCGATGAAAATACTTATACTATTGATGGAAACGTAATTTGACTTAATTTCCAATACCCCTAAATTTTCTCAATTTTTTCCTCAATTACAATAGGTCGAAAATTGATGATAAATTTGATGATTTTTTTAAAATCGACATTCCCATGTTAACCAATGAGAAATGGTAGGTTTGCCGCATGTCATATGACAGAAGATCCATCCATCCGAGTCCTTGCAAAAAATACAAGTTGGGTAGGCAATTGAATTTGCTAACTTTATTTAACAAAAAAATGATACGTTCCTTCAGGTCCAACAAAGTTACAGCTCTTTAAAGTCAAAATTGTTTTTCAAAAAAACTCTTCCTTTGAAATAACACAGAAGGCGAAAAATGATATTCAAAAATGACTTTGAAGCTCTGTAACTTTAGTATTCATCAAGTAAACTAAACACTTAGTGTACAAAAAAGTTAGACAATTCAATTTTCTATATACATTTTTTTGCTGAATCTTTTACTGAATAGATATCCTGATTTCTAATTTCCCCGAACCCACCAGTTGCCATTGGTTTACAATAGGGAATGACGATTTTCAAAAATCTATCAAAATCATCAATTTTTGACCTATTGTAATTACTCAGATGCGAGTAGGTAGTTACCAGTTTCGCCACCAGGTGGCTGATTTGGGGGAAATAGCATGGCAAGGTATTACAAAATTCCTTTAAACTTGAATATTTATCAGTTTTAGAGGTTCACTTTTCGTATTACCTTTATGTATGTGATAGTTATACAAATTAAAATATGTCCAGAAAGAGAAAATATTATTTGCCCAACACAAGAAAAGATATTTCACTTTTTGTGGTTTTACAACATGGAGTCTATGGTGAATCTCCCCGACCTAGAAGTCACATTTTCAAAGAAGAATAAATTTCCATACTTTATAAACTCTTTGCAAACCACATTGCCAGATGTAATTTTACATGTAGATTCCAAATATGACATCAGTTTGACTAAATTGAATTTTTAATGACGAAAATCAAGATTATTTCTACTCGCATCTAGGATATTGAGGAAAAAAAATTAAAAAAATTAGAGATATTGGAAATAAAGTCAAACTACGTTTCCATTAATAGTCGATGTATTTTCACCGCAGGTTAAGTAAATAAAAGTTCAAAGGTAAAGAGGCTTTAACACGTAGTTCAATGGGGGGAGCAAATGTTGCCAAACTTATGGAGGGGAGTGTAATTGCAACTTCGTATATTTTATTATTGAAATATCGCATTTATTCAGATATCAAGGTTGTAAGCTTTTGTTCAATGAATATTAGTGACTAATTGTCTAAATTAAGTTTTTTATTGATTTAATTTGGTTGCAAAAATAACCAATTTCGGGGAATATTATATATGCAAATAAGGGCAGCCATTATTGAAATATCTTACATAATTTAAAAGTAATAATGATAGCATCACAATTGTTGTGCCCTTACGTGCCCATCTTTTCAGGCTCAATGAATAAGATGATGTAAAAAGATACAAGAATAATTTGTTATATTTTAATGTACTTACATTATATGCAAATTAGCCAAAATGTTTTTAGGGTCAGTCAGATATATGGTAATATTAAAAGATACAATGATAACTTATTAGATATTGTGCATATATGCAAATAAGCATATTTATTATTGATATTTCGCATTTATTCAAATATTTTTATAAGCAAGCTTGCAGTACAAACACGACTAATTGGTGGTTTCCTTAAATTCTAAGTAGTTTGATTGGGTTGCCAACATATCTTAGAAAGGAAAAATGATAGCCCTGGGACCCATGTTTTCAGCGTCAATTAATTAGATAACGTTAAAATATACAGGAATAACTTATCAGATAGTGTACATATTTTATGGTATGCATATTTAGAGATATCAACGTTTTTATGATGAAATTAGATCACCAATAGTGACAAATAAATCAATAAATTACTTGATTTATGCAGGTGTTTAATGTATAAAAAATAATATAACATGAAACAGATCCCTGAATCACACCATGAGTTAATAATGAAGTATGGTTGAATGAGACACTGTGTTGGTGTTCTTACTGTCTTAGCTATTAAACCATGTTACCACTATTTCACAGTTGATTTCAAAGTTTGTAAGTTTATTATTAAACAAAATTGAGTCAAAGGCTTTCAAAATATTGCTTATAATGATAATGGACACCTCCATTTGCATATATAATTTTTTCCCCAAGGTTGCCATTTGTCCATACAGCTAAATCACTTCATAGAACCCTTATGACTGTGATTCCACAATAAAACATCGTGTTTTTACAAATTCAAAGGTTCAGAAAATGACACATCGACTATATCCTCACATCATACACCAATGTATAGATTATATAGACATATTTAAGTTGAACCAATTTATACTAACTTTTATATAGTAAAATGCTAAAGAGTTGCCTAATTATATCAATAGCAACAAAACCAAGAGCTAGTTCATAGCTTTTCGGATGTTTTATTGTAGAACTGATATTGAACTACTAATTGAAATTTATATATTACATACTTTACATTATACTTTATTTTATGAACATATTACTGTCAATAGTTTTTTACATTGTCCAGGTGATACCCTTTAGATATTACTAGATCAAGTCAAGAAGAAACCACTTAAAATTGGCTTACCACTCTTCGTCTGCACGGCAAGCCTCTTTACTGTTCGTGTATTTGGAAATACAGATGAATGCTTTTGAAATATTTTTGAAGCTTTGGCACATGGGCTGGTGATTGTCATATTATGCTTGGTTGAAATGATGAGTCGATTTGATTGTACGGGTACAGTACGAATATGTTGCCAGACATCAAATATGAAAATTATAAGTTTCATGTTTAACAGGCAATTTCCTGGTCCAGACCGACTTGCATTAAATTCAATGTTTCTTTTTCATAACTACACAAAAAGTAAAACGAAGAAAAAATAGTTGATTTCTCAAAACTTAAGTAATTCTTAAGTTTTGAGAAATTCTTGAGTTTTAAGGAATTCTTTAAATGTAGATCTTAATTTTGTGAACACATTCTGAACCAACTTCAGACTTCTATTCTATGATTAGAATTAGTTTACCAAGGGCCAAGCAAAGGTAAACTGATCACTTTTGGCTCATGTCGTATATGAAGTCTTCATGGCTGGATGACGTAATTACTAGTTTTGGACTAGTGTTAATAGTTGTATTACATGTTAGACTCATACTGACGACAGTCGAGTTAACATGAATTTTGTCATTTTCTGCCTCATTCTAATGGCCACTTTGGAAGTTTGCGTAGGGGTTCCGGCCTCCCTCAAATTGCATCTTACGTTTTTACATAAGGTATTTCATCAACCGACGGGGCTGATTTTAAACGCAAACAGTACCATAGGTTGATGTGATTTAAGATTCACATATAGATAGGCAAGGTGTGCCCTTTCAGACGTTGTTTTCTAAAACTAACACTCGATGCAGTACATCTCGTGCATATTTTGGAAAGCAACACCTTCAAGGAATGATCATTCTTCAGTCCAGGGCTTATATTCATGAATCTTAAATTATTTCTGTAAATCAAATTAAAATTCAAGTCTGATTTAAGATTGAACTAATAATATTGTGAGCAACTATGTGGTGACATTTTGTCATTCTAATGCCTTGTTTTCGTTTCCCAGCCTCTGAATTTTCAGGATCACCCCAGGTATTGGTCTAGCATGAATTTTTTATGTGTGGGCAGTGGGTTCGGTTCGAGCCCCCCCCCCCTTTACTAAAAGCTGGGTACAGGCATGTTGCTCATATTACATGTGAAGTATTGACGATTGCAATGGATGCAATCATTTTTGTTGGAATCGATATAAAGTATTCTGGCACTTACAATGACTAAGATGTGCAAGAACATCTATCATTTCGGGTAAAGGCCAAACACTCATCAAAGGGAACGACAAACAGTTTTCAAAATATAATATCATGAAAAAACACGCAGTGTGGGCAATGGAGGAATGAGAAACATCATTCAAAGTTGAATGGTAATGTGTCGGTCATGGAAGTAAAAGAAAGTATAGCATGTTGAATAGAAATGTAAAGGTCCCATGCATCGCTATTCCATCGCTATTCCCACAAAGTTATAACATGATCATATGTGAAACTGAGAATGAAATATGTTGTTTCCTGGTTTGGCAATGACTCATTCTTTGCAGTTATTTAAATATAAGCATAAAAATACGGATACAACTAACTTTTGATTGTACGTTTATATTCCACATAATTTTAAGGTCATTTTATATCCTCCAACACATGCTTAATAAAGTTTTACAAAAACAATTCAAAAAATAAATAATGATGATCTAAACACTTTTATTAAGTACTTTCCTTTCTAAAAATAATAATTCAAAAATATTTTTTCCCATATGATATTTTAGTGTAAAAAATATTCGATAGCCTAATCTAGACAACATGAATTCACAACAGAAATGTCTACACTCAATCGCCTGTATCCATTGTCTGCAATCGAAGATATCTTATCAAAATGTACCTTTTGGCATAGCTTTCACCAAAAGAATGCATCAATAGTGTTTATTAATATAGTCGATGTGTTGGAGGATACAAATATTTGACAAATCGTTTACATATAGTAAAATACTTATGTGACTGAGACATATCGAACATCCCGGTTTCAAGAGTTGGTAGCACATACACTTTATTAACATGAAATAATTGCAAATAAGCTGAGAAATAATGACAAAATTAAAGGAATTGAAATTGACAAAAAAAATAAATAAAAGTAATTCAACATGCAGATGATACCATCCTCACATTGTCAACCAAGGAATCTATTTGTTAATCACTTAAGAAAGAAATAATTTTTCTAGAATATCTGGACTTAATTTAAATATGGATAAAACTGAGGGAATATGGTTTGGCAACTTAAAAGGTAATGAACATACATATGAAAATATTCATTTGGAATAGAACCTGTTAAATGTCTGGGAATATATATTGGAAATGACAAAACTTTTTGCAAAGAAAAGAACTGGGATAGCAAGATTAACAACTTTGAAAAACTTTTTGAATCATGGAAAAAAAGAAAACTGACTCTGTTTGGCAAAGAACATGTTATTAACACTCTTGGAATTTCAAAATTAGTGTACAATTTAAGTATTCTAGATGTACCTGGTGATATTGTTAAAAGAATCAGTAAAATTATTTTCGGTTTTCCATGGAAAAAGGATTGGGTAAAACGAAATACTTTAATTGTAAATATACTTGATGGGCGATTAATCTGGTAGACATTCAAAGTAAATTTGATGCTATAAAATGAATAAACACGAGAGCACATGCGTCTCGAACTCGCAACCTCGTGGTTGCGGCACCCAATCACCTAACCTGAACGTGCTTGCGCTCAAGCCCTCTCAGCCAACTCGACAACGCAAAAACGTTGTTTTGTCAGTCGATCTGACTAGAGGCAGCTGATGTTAACGCTCAGACACACCAGAGGAAGCACCCTACCCTTTATTATTCCCCTTTGGCACAAGCGCTTATGTATTCCCCCCCCCCACACACTGCTCACACACGCTGCGAAAAGCTGCATGGGCACCTCGTATAAAAACAACAAACCCGTCGGTTCAAATAATTCCAGAATTTATCATAAATAAGCTAGGTTTTACAATAAACGATTTTTACAAAACAAATTTTGATGAAAATGTTAAGAGTTTAGATCATTATAAGTTCTACAAACATGTCTTTTGTGTATACAATAGATGTAAAAAATAGAGAAAAATAAACACCCTGGAACAGAAGTTTTATGGCTAAACAAACGATTTTTATGTAGGAAAGAAATTTTATACATGAAAATTTTGATAAATGCAGGTTTTATTTATGTCAAGGACTCTTTGACGAGAGAAATAATCTCATTGATGAGAAAAACTGTTTTGTTAAGACTAAAGAATAAGCAAAATCGGATGACCGAATATTTAAAAATTAGACTTGCTTTGCACAATATTAAATATGAGAGTAAGCAAAGTATGAAATATGCTAACAAAGGCATTCAAACTCTTTCCTATTTAAAAATGATAAATATGAAAACCTTGTGAAATTAAGTTCAAAGTTATTTTATAAAATCTTTATGAAAGACAAATTTATAAGACCAAAGGTGGAAGCAGATTGGACAAAATCGTTCAATATTCAGAATGATAGAATCACTTTTAGAAATATATACAAAATAAGATAAAAGATATTGAATGCCAAAATTTATTAGAATTTAACTTTAAACTATTACATAATTTCTTAGCCTGTGGAAAACTGGTAAATAAGTGGAATATGAATGTACCAAAAAAATGTAGGGAATGTAATGTTGTACAAGACATTAGACATATATTATAGGATTGTGTCTTTATTAAAAAGCTATGGAATATTTTAAGTGAAACACTAAAGGTGGATATTACTTGGGAAAATATACTCCTGGGGTACCAAAGCATGAACAGCAAATTAGAATTTAGAATGTTGCTTTACACAATACTGATGAAATATATTCATGAAATTTGGACAAAAAACTCAAACAATCCAACTCAATATAACCAAGCACATATTAAATCTAAAATAGCATCTAAATTAAATATTTATGAACACATTTTTAAACTGCAAGAAAAAGTATATTGCTCATGATTTTAAGGAAATTATAAATGCCTTCGCTGCTTACTAAGATTGAATGGAGTTTAGTTATTATATAATGACCAAAAATTTTGATAGAGTATATAATGCTGTGAAAATCCTATTTTACTATTGTATAAATTCTAATCCAGGATATATGTATATTTCCGTTTTGTATAGTTTTATTGATTCAAGTATTGTTTGTGTTTATTTACTTTGCGTTTATGTTTTTGAATAAATAATTTTTATTAAAAAAAACATGGTCAAAAATATAAGCGCAATCGATGCATTTAATGTCAAGAAATTTGAGTTTATATTTGCTGAAAAAATAAAATATTTCTTTAATGTCTAAAAATCCATTATTAAAGGAGCACGTAGGTTATCGCAAACAATTTCAGAAGGTTATATCTTGGATTATGACTATTTTCAGACAATGAAGACAGGTTTATCTTTTAGATCAATTTATTATCTGAAAGAAACTTATATACGAGTAATAATAATAACTCGTATAGTAATAATAAAGTCAAACAAACTGGGAGGTATTTAACTAGCAATCAACCCATCAACACACCTTTCAAAGATGTTGGCCCCATTTTCACCAAAAATGCAATAATTTTTTACAATGTTTAATGCATTACTATTCTTTATTTTGATGTATAAAATAGTTCTCGAAAGAAAAACTTAATTGCTTTAAGATAAGTGTTCCCCATGTTATTTGTCCATTGAAAAATCTCATGCTATCCATTGGTTTCAGTTCATTTTGGTCATCCAAATTCAATATCTTTATCTTTAGTCCCTGGAGCATTCAACTTTTCCTTTTAGGAAATTGAACATGTCTCAAAGCACATTCTAATTATGCATTTAACAATATAATAAAATGTTGCATTTTTGTGAAAATTGGGTCAACATTTTTGAAAAAGTATGTTGATTGGTCTATTACCCCTTCAATATCACTTAGGTCTGATTAACTAAATTATCATTATATATACTAAACTAAAGGATCTAAAAGATCATGCATGAGAGAGCAGGAAGGAAAGAAAGGACCACATGTAAACAACATATGTAAATAGAAAGTTTCGTTCGGCGCAACGCAAAAAAACGGGCTAAGAGCTCTTACCTGTAGATAAAACCGATGGATTTACAATCGCTTGTAAAACGTTTA